GAGAGAGAGAGAGAGAGAGAGAGAGAGAGAGTACATTTAATATTATCTATATTTCCGTAATATATCAATAACATGATGACTACCAACGCAACGTTTTATTCAAGTTATTTAAGTATTAATATAATTCTGCAAAAATTATCATTTAATTGTGTGTTATTAATAATTCTAACTTTTAGTTTATTATTTCTGGCAAAGTATATCTCGATAAATTCGGTTTCTCAAAATTATACGAAATACATATACGTATAGAATTTTTATAAATCTTCACAGTTCAATTCTATTTCAATTCCATTATAATTCCACTAAATTCGAAACATTGTTTGTAAATTATAGAACTCACCAAATTTTTGAGAATTCCTTCGAGCTTAAAATTCACTAAACTTCATTTCCTCAATTGGGAAACTTTTAAATCAGCAGACTCACCAATTTTCGGAAATATTTTAACCAAAAGAATTCACTAACTTCTAATAGGAAAATTTTAACTTTTTAACTCATCGATTAGTTGAATTTTTTTCCCCACCTCTGTTGGATATCTGCTATCCTTATTTAACTGGATTATAAAGTATTCAATCACTAAGAGATTATTTTTATCAATTATTTCCGATATGTTTTACGACATTCATTCGAAATAATTTACTTCTGCTAGACTTAACGATCTCGAAGTTCTCCCTAAGCTTTGAGCGCCGGTCGCGCCCTTAACCGGGTTATCTCTTCACGGATTCGCGATAACAAGCTCGCTGACACCACCGGAGTCCATCCACCACTAATTCCCGTCGTTGTTTAACGCTCGCAACAATCTGTTGCTTCGTCCGTGTCAATCGATCGGCCGGGGAAAGCAAGGCTCTTCTCGACCTTTCTCTCGGGGTGTTCGCGCTGCGAAGCCACCCCTATGAAACACCGGCAAGCACTAGCGGCGCATCCTCGCGGCTGGCAGGTCCCCGGAACCCGGTGACCGCGTTCGTGAGGGGCGGGAGACGGCGAGAAGAGGGGGACAGGCTGGCGGGTGAGATTCGCCTAAGTGCCACCAGGTTCAACGAACTCGAGGGTCCTCGCCGGGATCTCGCGGGTCATCTCTCGATCGGTCACGAGGTCGATACAACCCCCCTTGCCGAGATTCTGTGCAGGTGGAGCAGCCGCAACCAGGTGGGGTTCTCGCGAGAATGCCGCGCGGATGTTCGGGCGCTGGTCTCGGAGCGGTTGGAAGAGAAGGATCAGAAAGGGATGGTCGAAACGGCGGCAGGGGGATGAAAAGGAGGGTAGGAGGGGGTGGAACCCGACTGTTTATGTTGGGAAAACGGGGAATCATGAATCTAGAGCGCCTGCGCGACCCTCGCCGTACGCAATCGATAGACTCTGACGTAGAAGGTAGTCTCGCAACCTCGATTGACCGGCATTACATTGGGAAAGGGCAAGCGGACCAATTTGTCGCCGCCCTTTTTTCTTTTCCTTTCCTCTCCTATCCTCTCTGCTATTAATTCTTATCCACTTTTCTGTTGTTTGTTTTTCGTTACATAGTCCGCGCATTCGATCTCTATCCTGATCTAATTATTCGATTATGATCGGAATGTTATGTGAGTTTCTTGTACAATGATTTCTTTATGTTACTTGTTGATCAAGTCAATTTTAGATTGCAAGCCATTTGCAACAATCGCAAAACAAGTTTGATGTATATGTAATACGTAAACACACATTCGAGATATGACATACTTCCTTCTCATTTTTATCACGATATGAATCATCAATGATACAAGTGTGAGAAATGTAAAAGACCGCTAATATTATTTTACTTGATCTAACAGGAATGGTAGTTATCACGTGAGATTAATCTCACTATTGTAAAAAGAATTACATTCATGATTGAATCACTCACCGGACAACAGCGGCAATTTCTGCAGTTCCCGATTTTTCGATATGTTGAACCTCGAGCTGCTTTGCCGTTTATCCTTTTTGATTACAGGTCCACCAGGTTGATACTTGATTTTGTTGATGAGCGTAGGCGGAGGCGGTGCGTTGCCCACAGGAGGTCCTCCGGTCACCTTGTTTGCCTATGGCAGATAAAAGATATTAAAAATAAAATTCAAATAAAAAGGAATTATTATTTCGATTATAAATAAACATACAAATTTTTTCTGAAGCCAATTGTATATTTAATTACATTTATTGTAAAATTTTTTTAACAATTTTTATATATTTTTTTTGTAATTCTCTTTATAAATTTCTAATATAATAATGTCCAAATCTCCATTTTCAATTGAGTCAAGAAATTATAGTGTTAATTAAATTTAAATAGGAGAGACTGTGATTAACGTGTTTAATCCAATTACTTATCTTCGCATTTTAATTCAACTCGCTTTATAGGTATATAGGTAAAATACCAATTATACCAACACTTGCTAATAAGATTTATTACATAAATGGAACGCGAAGAAGCAACATGAGCAATCCACGATCTATAGCACATCAATGCGTACAAAAACTAAAGGTGATCTCTTTATCTCTTCAGGATTGGAAATACAGAATATTTATACATGTTATGTTCTAAATAGTTCTTTTTGACTAATAAAAAATTAATTTTTTCAAACAATGTTGTAGATAATTTTTCAAACATAATCAATTAGAGACAAGGACTTTTTCACATTATTAATATTAAATATTAAATAAATTTTTAAATAAAATTAAATGTCTAATTTGATATTCAATATTTTTAATATTGTGAAAAATAGAAATAAAAGAATGTTCATTAAAGCATGTATTAAACATTTTTTAATATAAATTAAAAAATAATTTATTTATAAAAGTATATAATACCAATATAATTCTAGAAATATGATTTGTTAGACTTCTTAAATATTGAAAAATAGAGAGAACTAACCTATCAATTTTAGGTAAAATATGATTGAATGAGAATTTTATGAAATAAATTTAATATTGAGAAAAGAAGATTTTAAATAATATCTTTACACACACACATACAGTAAGTATACACATGATATATTACATGTACAATTGTTGATTATTTTACTCGCAATATATGCGTGAATCTTGTAAAAAAATCACATGTGAACCAACAGCGTTTCCTTTAATCATCTTCGATTACAGTTATAAAGTAGGTTATTCGCGAATGAGTCATGGACACACACAAGAAAGTCATGGACAAATGTTTTGGTTTATCTTGGAGTGCGATTAAGTCGATCGGACAAATGAACCACGTTGGCGTCCTATAATGAATCCAATCAGATCCCCTTCTTCTCGCTTTATTGCAAACCGACCAACTAGTTACGCGAGCTTTCATCATTCACTTTCTCGATCGTTCCGCTTTCAAAGTTTTCGCGCCTAACATCGAATATCTTAATTAGCAATTACCAACTTTTTCAACAGTATACATTCTATATCGATTATATCAGTAATAACCGAAATGGGATGCGGGAGTTCTTAATGCAAATTTAAACGAAAGTAATTTATTCACACAAAGTTGACATCAAGAACTTGAGAAAACTGTGACTTATAAAAAATTTTTAAATATTGGGAAAAAAAAGTTTGGAAAATTGATCTGTAATTAGTTTTTCATGTAAAACATTCTTCAATGACAGTTTACTTTCAAACTCGTTCGTCGAAATATCTAACGCTGAATGATAAAATATTACAACATTGCGTAATCAATAACGCATCTGCGCAGTATGATGACAGGTAGTACACGTACGCAAGTAAACGTATTCTAAAGAGGTGTAGTAAAGCGGAATGTGTGTGTCCGCACATTGCAGATAAAAATAGATGTAAAACACGATCTGATGAACTATTACGAAGTTACCGTCACTGGTCGGTCTGAGTTTTCATGTCGCTGCAGCGTCTTCAGAATATGCGCATGCGATCACGTACACTTGATAAACAAAGTTGATCCTATACACATTGTCCCCCAATGAAATCTAGTATTTACACTCTCTATCGTTCTCTGAGAGAGTTTTAAAAAGATTCGTAAAACGCGCGTCATAAACGTGCGATAATGCGGAAGTTATTTCGCGCGACGAAGCAGCTTATCAAAGGATACTTTATCGCTTCAGATTAAAAAGCTTATTACCCAAAAAAACATTTTAATTGTTTTAAAATACAAAATTATTTTATCTACAAAAACACTGTTCTGAAACACTGTTAAAAAATAATAATACATTACAAAAATTGTATTCTTATTCAAAAATCTAAAGTCACACGCATAATATAATTTTTAAAGCATTATTATAACTTCCATTCTAATACAAAATATGTAAAGAAATTATTTTATTTTTGCAACGTGTATATATTGCGTTTTGGAGTAAATTAACTTTTGTCAATTGATTGGCTTTATATGAGTAAATAATGGTTTATAATTAATGTTTTTTCGCGAGAAAAGGTCGGTCAGTGTTGGAAGTTCACGGTCAAAGATTACTATTACAGCTCTTATTCTACCAAGAATTTCCGCCTGAGGGACTGAGGGACGTGTAAAACGCATTTCATTTCTTTCATCTTCCTAATGGTATTTCTCGTTTTCATCAGAAGCCATTCATTATTTCGAATGAATGCAGTAGCAGTAACGATAAAAGAGAATGATTACGTGCGAAGTACCGTTTGATATACAGTTTTGCCCTGTTTTTAATAAAATGATTCAAGTTCTGGTTTGTAGATTTCTATCTTTTATCTCAAGCTATATATACTCATAATATATGATTAGATTCACCCTATTTCAAAAATATTAATTTTTTTAATTAAATATATACACTCAACTTGATTTAATGCCATAAGCATGATATTCATAAAGCTATAATTCGTGCGTGGGATTAAAAACTTCATTTATTTTAGGATTTACGTAATTATTGTTGAAAATATAAATTGTAATATGTATTAATTTCTACTGGAATAATTTTAATATTTTGCAATGGTGCATATTTAAATATATTATAATTTATTCAAACGTATGTAAATAATAAGACAATAATAAAAATATATGTACTGAAATAATATTTAAAATTGAATTGTTGTTACAATAAGCGAACATTTAGTTATACGTCGAATTTAATAAATTCAAATTTAAGTTGTACATAATTCTTTTAATTTAATTAATTAATAAACAAAGGAGTTAAGAAATCATTAATCTTTGCAACTTACTGATTGCATCGCTTTGATTGCCGTGAATAATCTTTAATATTTTGGAACTTGAGTCTCACGTTAAGTGTGTTACGAGATACTTTCATGCGTTATTTACAATGATGCTCTATATCTATACGAAATTAATACGCGTTCGATATCAATCATACGCAGTCATCTATATAAACGTTTTATTCCGCGCAATCGAATATATCGTGTGCTAAAAAGTTATTCTATCTTTGGTTATCATATCGGTCACATGTGATAAATATACACCGATAAATCAGAAAAGATCTTGCTTTTTAATCATCGCACATTAAACTGCCAGCAAAATAAAAGAATTATCTTACTGAAAATTATTTAAAGATATAGTATGTTGATACTCGACAATGTCCATAGATAATAAGCTCAAAATTTGTGAAATTGCTGCGTAAAAGTGTAAATAAATAAAAAATGACAGATCCACAAACGGTGTGTGTTCGTTGAACATATTTGCCAATTAAAATAAGAAAATACTAATTAATGTATGAATTATCATGTTTAATCGTTTTAAAAAAGAAAATAGTATATGATCACCATATATACTTTGTGCAATAAATAAAATACTTTTTATTTCGATTAAACGTGTCATATCAGAAGATAAAAATGTAAATTCTATAGTAATCATGATATAATTAATAACACAATGACGTAAGAATAACAAAGATATTGAATAAAACAATATTAAATTTTCCACATTTTTTAAAATAATTTCTAGATCTAGCTTTCAGTTTTCACTCTACGATCGTATAGAAAACAGATTCATGTAAAAAGATGCCACATTTAAATCTATTAAAAATATTTTATTAAGAGAACGCATCAACCAAAACCGGCGCAGTGTGGGAAACCTGCCTTTTTCTTGAACACGTTTCCAAAGGCGAGCCCGCTGAACGTTTGCATTTTACTCTGCATACCAGTGTGCGATTTCCGGAACAACGATCGGCCCAGGAAGGAATTTCACTATCGGCACAGGGCGGCAGCCAGCCGCAGGAAAAACGGTTTCGTAGCGGTAGGAGGACGCAACATGATCCTCGCATTCGCGATTCTCCCTTCTCACGGGACGAAGAGGATCTCAATCACACAGCCGTCGAACAGTCGATCCACTTCACCTACTACCGGGAATATCCGCTTTCTTCCCTCCGGCACCTGAGAGTGCATCCCCGAATGCATGCCTGAGAATATTCCGCGAAATAACTCCAGGAACGTGTTGGGAATTTTTTTGTTCAAGTCCACAGTGTCAAACCGATTTTCCCGTCATAAGAGTGCAATGACGTGAGAAAAGTCTTGCCGAAAGTCTTCTTTCCAAAAAACGAGAAAGATAAGACTTGTAAACATGTTAGACTACTAAATATGCACACAAAAGAATCATTTTACTAAAGTATCTAAAAATTTAAGCAACGTATAGATAAAAAAATAATTTTGCACTATCAAATTAATTATGTAGAACTGAAACTACGTAATGAACAATGCTGCTAAAAGTTTTTATATTCTATAGAAATCAGCTTTAGCATTCAAAAAAACATAATTATTCCGATCTAACAAAATTATTTTCAGATCTGTCTCTAAATGGAAAAAAACGTTTACCTAAAGTATCTGACTTTAATTAGACCTAAAAATAATTTTTGTTGGACCATTAAAATAATTAGGATATAGGACGCTTAAACTACTGCAAAATGTCAAAACTTTTTACAGCATTGTTTAATTATCATGCTTGAGTTTACTACATAATTATTTTGATGGTGCAACAAAATTATTTTCAGATCTGCATGGAAAACCGGTTTTGCTGAAATATTTAAAATAAAGTTAGACACATAGATCTGAAAATAATTCTGTTAAAACTGTCAAAATAATTATGTTGAACGCTCAAATTGTTTACTAGAATGTCAAAACA